TCAATGCATTAGATCAAGTAACTTTTTCATAAATTAAATTCAAAGTCATAACAGAAAATGTTTTTTCATAGATATTTCTCCAACTTTGCACAACTACTTTAGGAGAGGTATGTGCTCTAGGTGCAATAATTTTATTAAGGATAATAATGTACAGTAAATAATAAGATATTCACAATCAGATTTTGTGCAATTACTTATGACTCAAGGTTTATTTGAAATAATCAGTACTAATCATAATAACATACAGTATATTAAAATAATCAATTATCTAGCCTTGAAAAAACATATACCCTTGATGCTTTATCACTAATCATTGTTTAAAGTGTACCCGGATTATCCAGTGGTACAGGGTCCCTTGGTCTATTATACTTCCCAGATTCTATAATATAACAAAATTCAGTTTATGTTAACCATAAAAATATGTAATTTTATAAATCAGTGAATATATATATTGTATATATATATGACATAACAGTATTTTTTAAAATAAATTTAATATGAGATATGTTTTATAATGAGTTAAAAATAATTATAAGTTATCAAACTTAAATTATAGAGTATAGCTGTAATATTATATTTATATCAATAATATAATCTCACACTTGGAGTGCAAAGTGCTGTATAAACTCATAGTTTTTATAAACATTTGTACCTGGTATATATTTTAAAAATTATCTTTATGACCAATAAATGCAAAAACTATAAGTATATTCAACGCCTGTTTGCACTCCAAATGCGATATGAGTGTATTAATTATCACAAATTCAGATATTTATTAGTATTTCGAAAATATATTGGGAAACAATAGTAAATATCCATTTGTTCCTTTTGTACCATAACTTCGAACTATCAAGGTCTTTCTAACTAATTATCCCACTAATCCATACCATAATTATCTTATATGTCACGTATAGGAAATATAATATAATGCCGATGCCGTATTAGTGCTTGTTCACTTTATAATTTAGTGATAAAAATTTCATATATAAACACAATAAAATAAAACAAAATTCAAACATTACTTTATTATTAATAGTAACTTATATTATTAAGTACTCTAATTACCATGTACAAATTAATTGCGCTAACAGTGCTACTCTCTGTCCAGATATGCCTATCTGTGCACCCGTGGGAACAGGAGAAAGAGGACGGGTATGGTATGGGTAAACACACTGAGTTCGTCCAATACACTAAGGATAATAAGAGCAAGATTAAGGCCGTGTTTTACGGCGCCTCCATTTGCGAGTACTTCGGTCAGGCGGGTCAACACATATGGGCGAAACGGTATGAGCCGAAGGGTGCGGCCAACTATGGCATCGGTGGCGACACTACGCCCGGCATGTTATGGCGATTCAACAACCATGAGTTGGACGGACTGAAGCCCAAGGTGTTTGTCCTAACCAGTGGGCACGGTATGTATAATCCATTGCATACATATGCTGTATATATAAAGTGTAATGTTATACTTAGCATTAAACTCAATATTGTTTCGATAGCCGAGAACTATCTGGAGAATAATCCGGGCACTTCTGCCGCCGATATACTAAAAGGACAGTTAGAGACCATAAAGGAGTTGAGGGCTAAGTTCCCGGAGGCAAAGGTCATTCAGATGGGACACACCCCTTATGGGTCACACCTCCAGGAATACAATGAGACACAAAAAGTGAACGAAGAGCTCAAGAAGATTGACGACGGAAAGGATGTCTTCTATTTCGATATAACTAAGGAAATGTTGGATGATCAGGGTAAACAAATTGCTGATATGTTCCAACCTGACCGTGAACATTTCACGGAAAAGGGATATCAAGTATGGGACGACGCTATGGGCGAACTGTTTGACAAACTCATGAAATAATTTTCTTAAAGTTTGTGTTTTTTGCAATTAATTGATTGAAATTGTATCAAAATAAAATACAATGATAAATAGATTATAACAAATACTAAAATATATTTATGGGAATATATTTGAAACATTATTTTTATTTTATTTTTAGAGAGAGAGAGAGAGAGAGAGAATATATTAATATTACAATAAACAATAAATTATCATGTTGTTTTTCAAACTGTAATGATTATTATTAGAAAGTTAACATTTGAGTGAGGTATTAGTAATATTGTATATTGTATTTTTGCATTTATAATTTAATCAAGGAACAATTTGATTTTCAACTTTATTTGTAAACAGTAATGGGAACCCTATATAGATGGTGGTACCTGTTATATGTGATACAGTAAGTTGAAAAAGTAAAATACAATTTATATTTAATGTATTATGATCATAAAGTAAATTATTTTAAAATATTAGCTATTAAAAAGTATTTAATAAAAATGTTAACAAGCACATTAGATACACTATTAAAAATATGCCCTAAACAGAAAAACATTGACAAATATAGAAAATAATAGTTATGTAACAAAAAATGGCAAAAAATACTAAATATAACCCAAATGTTTAAGCAAAATATTTTGGCAAATTATTTTAGTGTAGAATAATTAATGTATTTTTTGTGTACATTATTGGCAATTAATAAATTGCATTCAATTATAAGCAAACGTTAATGTCTTTTGCAAAAAACTAATGATAAGTAAAACAAACTATTTTTACTCCAAAAGTTAACATTTTTCAAATACTTTTTTGTAGCAAAACATTAATTTCTCATTTAATAACTCATTAGCGAGTAATGACTTGACGTTTGAAAGTATAGCAAAAGTTTTTTCAGTCTAAAAATGTATAAACAAAACAGTATTTTAGAGATTTTTTCAGTTATTAATTGATTGAAAGCAAATGTTTGCGTCTCTCTCTCTCTCTCTCTCTCTCTCCCTAAACGCAAAACAAACTGAAAAATAATTTCTAACTAAAAATGTTTTCATATTTTGCTTAACAAGGGCCCAGTTATGCACGAAATCCCCGTCCCATATGTAGGCAAATATGCCATAGTTTTGGGCAAACGATGGACTAAATAGTGATTAAAACGAAAGGAAATGTGGTTTTCATAATGACTTTGTGTATCGAGTTTTGACATTCATTTGCGTGCAGTTTGTATCCCATAATGGCTTTCAATAGTTTCTGTCGGATGAGTTATGTCACCAAATATTTTTGCATGATAAATATTTACTGTGAATTTTAATATTTCTTAATTTATTCCGGATGAAATAATTCACTGGAAAACTAATTTCTATGAAGTAGTTCTTAATATTTGAATGATTCACAAATGAATTAAGCATTCAAAATAAAAATACTATAAATATCTATACAAATAAACAAGATAAATCATTTAAATTATACATAAATACTTAACGCTTAAAATCCCTATGCATGCAATATTAATCTAGCACATTTTACAAAAAAACAAACACTAATCCCTATTTATTATAACAATATTTTCCATTCAAAGGTAAACCGCTTTCTAGTACCTTTATATGTAAAATATTTCCACATTTTTGTTTTTAATGTTCTATTAAATCTTTCTACAATACTAGCTTTAAAATTACTATCAGTACTAAACCATTTAATATTTAATGTATTGAAATAATTTTGTAACTTACTATTAATAAATTCTTTACCTTTATCAGTTTGTAATTTTAATGGTTTACGATCATTAAATAATGTTTTAAATGATTTTAATAATTCATCAGAAGTTTTTGTTTTTAATTTAATAACCCAAGCATATTTACTAAAACAATCAATTACAGTTAATAAATAATTATAACCTTTATTCTTTTTAGAATATTCTCTCATTTCTACTAAATCTGCTTGCCATTGATCATCAATATTATGAACATATACTTTTCTAGTTTCAAATATCTTTCTTATTGGCTTATGTAAAGTATAAGTATCTTGAGAATTTAGAAAATTTACAACATCTCTTTGTTTTAAATTAGATTTTTTACTTAAATCATTAATACCAGAGAAACCTGTTTTATGATTATAATAAATATCTTTTAATACTTTATCATTCTGTAATTGCTAACTATTACCAGTATCTTTGATACGGGTGCTTTTTAAGACACCCATACCTAAATAACTTTTAGTACTAATAATTGCTGCTACTTTTTAGCATATTTTCTAACATATTCTGGTTCATTAATATGATTAGTCAATCTATTACATTCTTCTGCTAATGTATTATCAGCAATATTTCTATTTTCTACATCTTTATAAGTGTCATAAGCTTGATCATGTTTTAAGCATAATTTATCTAAAGAATATCAGTCAAAATATTTTTGAAATGCCGTTTATATTTATAATGTTATTTAATATGTAAAATGTGCATGTCACCAGTGACTATAATTGGATTGACGGGATTACTTGTCGACATTTTCCAATTTTGATCAAATCAAATGGTAGATATAGTCATATAGATTATCCTGGCACAATTTACTGAAACCTAACGGGGTTCCCCATTAAGTCCAAATGCAAATACATTATAATGAACTTTAGGTAACTCAATGGCCAGTATATTGAGTGTAAGGTATATGATATAAGTTTAATTTAGTGTTAAGTTAAGCAAAACATGTTTTGACAAAAATATATTTTATAATAAAATATCAATAAAATGGACACAAATTTTTAATAATTATTTAAAAGACTGAAATTTAATTATGTATAACATTATATTTATCTTTAAATAACATTTAATTTAAATACATTAATTATTAAAGTAATTTAAATATGATAAAATATTAATACTGGCCATTGAGTTACCTACAGTTCATTATAATGTATTTGCATTTGGACTTAGTGCTGTCTGGCTTTCCCTGACACAAGTTTAGTAAACATTAGTTCCCGAAAAAATAATTATTTCAAAACTTTAATAACTTTTTTGTTATAACTCGTATCCAAAATCACATACAAGTGTTGCGAAAATCAATTTAATGCAATTCGTATACAATTAAAATAAAAATAATTAAAAATGTAAAGCTCTGGAAATAACGCATAAAACTCAAAATCATATGCTAAAGTCAGATGAAATGTTATAGTTCAAAATAGTGAAATGTCCCGTATGTCAAATGAAGGTAAGGTTAGACAGGTGATAACAAAAAGTATTAATTCTAAATTGAATTAAAATTTTATGGTGTTTAATTATTGCGCATTCATAAACCACACCTTAGCCCAATACAGAATTGTTAATTAATATAGAGAAATTAACTTCAAAGATATTTAACGTAATAATAATTAGATTCGTTTATAAGAATTGATCAATTAATTTTGAATTCTATTTAATAATTTGTTAAAATGTTTATCATGGTATTACTTTATAAGTATCCTAATACATATAGGAAACAATGGTTTGAAACTTTCAAATGTTTTTATAAACCCAGCCATTGTTAGATTTAAAACAATCCTTATATAAACTTTATAATTTTAGACAACAATCTCCTTTTAAAACCAGAAACTTTTAAACCTAAAGATATTGTCGAGGATTTAAAGTCCCTTTCATTAGAGGATACGGACGATGAAAATGCAAACCCTATACCAATACCTACGTTAAGGCGGTCATCAAAAAGTGTAGAAAATACTAGTAAAAGGCAAACGTATTACCAAAATGTCAAAAAAGAAATTACCTTGCTACTACTCGGTCGGACAGGTGTGGGAAAGTCTACATTCATTAACGTATTCGTCAATTACATGTCATTCGAGACTATAGAGGAGGCCAGTCGTGAACCCATATGTTTAATCCCGGTTAAATTTACCATATCTGACCCTGATATATTCGAGTTAAAAACTTGTACAGTACGTATCGACGATATCAATGAAAACACGCGTAAAAGCACACAATCGGCTACAAAATACCCTAGATGCTATAAATTTTCAAATGATAATATTATACTCAATATCATCGACACCCCGGGTATTGCCGATACTGATGGAGTTGACAAGGATGCCGTCCACATGAAAAATA